GAAATATGGAAATGGTTCCCATCCAGAATTTTACCTAGTGGAAGAACACATGAGCATCCTAATCCACACTTGATGAAAGCAAACCCATGTCTCATGGCATAAATTACACCCATTTCTCTAGCTTCATTAGTGAACTGAAATGTATTTTGATAGAACTTTTTTTTTTAAATGTATTTGGTACAGGTCTCTCTATGCAGCTCAGACTTGTAGTGATCCTCCTGTTTTCAGCCTCTCCAGCGCTGGGATTACAGGCGTGACACCACGCCCAGACTTGGTGGCTCAGTGAGCTCAGTGGTGGGGCAGGTGTGGTGGCATGTGGCATCCTCTATTTTTAGGTTCTGTAGATTGCCATATTTTAGCTCGATGTTCTGAACACTGAATAAATTCAGCAAAAGTTAACAGTTTTTCACTAACTCCAGTTTCATGAAATACTGCTGAAGTACCACTGGGGGACCCATTATGTCCCTTGTTATGGAAAAGGTTTGGATCAAAGCTTATTCTGCAGTGATCATCAAATACTGCACTTTCAGTAGTATCAGCTGATTCTTTCAGCACAAGTTTTAAAGGGTGAAAGTTGTATTTAAAAAAAGCAAGAGAATGATCTAACAAGCTAATAAAGAATACAACTGCTGCTGCACCAGGCAAGCTTACAGCACAGCACGGAAGAAAACAAAAGAGCAGCAGCCTTGGGAAGTGCTCTAAGCTGCTGAGTGGGCACAAGCTTCTTGTTTCAGATCAAGCGTTGTGCCTTCAACTTAAGTGTACTCTTCTTCAGTCTTGTTGGTTGTTGTGAGGTTTGTTCCTTGCCTGATCTGAACTTGAAGCACCAGTTTAGGAGGTAATTCTGTTACACTTCACACCCAACTGCTCAATGACCCCTCTCTAGTGCCACCAGCAGTAGCACAGCCCAGTTATGTAGCTTGTCTTCTTGGGACAGGGCTTCACTATGCAGTGCAGGCTGTCCTCAAATTCGCAGCAGTCCTACTGCCTCAGCCTCCTGGGTGCTGGGATTCCAGGCCCCTGAACCAAATCACTGTATCAGAAACATTTTGTTGAGCATGGTGCCGCATACCTCTAATCCCACCACACCCAGCCGATAGTCATTTCTATTAGTGTACTAAGGCTTATCAAAATTTATTCCAACAACTCAACTTTAGTTGGATATTTATGTATTTTAGTGTATAAAGGGTAAAGAAACTCTTATGCTGTAGCCTCTTGATAGAACCAAATCATTTTTTTGGCGGGGGGGCACTCAGGAAGCCTTCAGGGCAGGCCTGGTTTGGCTTGAGGATGAGGGGATCGAACCACTGCATCCTGAGCCTGACTGCTTTGTTTCAGCAGGCACTTAAACACCTGCCCATTAGGGCAGGCCCCTGAACCAAATCACTGTATCAGAAACATTTTGAGCATGGTGCCGCATACCTCTAATCCCAGCACTTAGGAGGCTGAGATGGTAGGATCACTGTTAGAGACCAGGCTGTGTTACATAGGCAGTAAGTAGTTCAAGGCCAGCCTGAAGTACAAAGCGAAGCCCTGTCAGACAGACAGAAACATGAACATTGTTTTTTTTTGTTGTTGCCCTGGGGATTGAACTCAGGTCACTGTGCTTGCTAGGGAAGTGCTTATTTTACTGAGCCATCTCCCCAGCCCTATGCACATTCTTTTATGAATTCTGAGAGGACAAAAGCAATGTAAGACCTATAATGATGTCATAACACATAATGGGAAAGAAAAACT